GCAGAGCCACAGCCCCTGGGCTAGCTGCTGGCGCCAACTACCTCAAGGCCGGCGCACGCGCCGGCGATAGACTACGCCAGCAACTCTCAAGGGCTCGCACTCTCCTCACCACCACCGCGCAGTATACATCACGTACCGATGGGTAGAACACTCGTTTGCAGCGGGGCGGCGCGGAGAGAGAGTGGAGAACGCGTCGCGCAAGACCCTTGCTGACCACCCCAGAGGCACCGCGGTGCGACGTGCGAGGAGGTTGCAAGAGGCGCACTCGGCGACCTCCGACGAGCCCGCAGGCCGGATCCAGGCGGCCACCGGCGCAGCCCAGCTCGCCCCTGAGCTGGGCTGGCCAGCCACGGGCCAGGGACGCCCCGGGCGGGGCGTACAGAGGCGCCGCGCGTCGCGTAACGCGAAAGTAAACGTTCTCGAATCATACCCACGTTGCACGTATACTTAGCCCAAATGCAAAAATGAAAAAAGGAAAAAAATATGGCACGTCGTCCCCGCCCGTTAAGCCCGATGCGAGGGTAACAGGGTCTGGTCTCTAGATTTTTTTCCTGTGCATACCAAGACACAGTATACCCCTTTGCTCGCCCGTCGGCCGCTGGGGCTCCCCAAGCGGGTGTTCTGGTGCCTGGAGGTACTCGAGTATGTGTATCGCGCGCCTTGCGGGGGGGTGCGGTAGAGGTAATTGAGAAAGGCCTGGAAAGAGTTGAAGGTTATCTTACGTAACGAACGGACGTTGGCAGCGGCGCGCGGTCGTGCCAGCTCCCTGCTTTCAACGACTGGTTCTGACTGATTTCGCAAATTCAGCAGAGTTACCAAGTCAGCAGAAGCTAGAAAGCTGAATGGCGCAATGCGTTTCCGTTCGCCTCGGGAAAAGGAGCCGCGCAAGGTCCAGTGTAGCGCCGCGACGGACCTCGCCCTCTCTCTCTCGCGCGCAAGGCACAGGGCGGCGCGGCGAAACGCCCTGGAAAAGCAGAAGAGCCAAAAGGGCCTAGTCTCGGCATCTCTTGCCAACGCCGGCGCTGAGGGTTGGGCGGAGCTGCGGAGGGCAACCGGCGCGGCTGCACAATTTCGCCGGGCGGCGCGGAGAGGTGCAGATGGCGGCGGCGAAGGCGGCGGCGGCGGCGAGACTAGAGGCGACAAGGGAGTGGGCGGGAGATGGGGCTACGACATCCTCAACAGATGCGCCGGTGTGCCGGAATCCTCTTGCCACAAGGAGGAGGAGGAAAGCATTCCGTGCGAGCCTAGTGAAGAGAAGCTCGTGCGCACGCTCGAGGTGCTGCGTGTCAATCTGCTGCAGCTACAGGGCGTTGATCACGCGGCTCAGACCTTTGGTGCGACTGTCCTTTTTCACTTTCGCATGCCCGGCGGCGCGCTAGATGAGGACCTGATGTGCGACCTGCACGAGAAGGACGCCGAGTTTCCAAAGGACACCGGTCGGCCCGGCGCAAAGTGGTTCCTGCAGCAGGTTGACTTTCCCACCGCGCTGGACTACACAATGCAGCAGCAAAAGGCGGTGCAAATTGGGAGCGATCTCGACATCGTGGTGCGCGTGCGCGGCACCTTCTTTGAGTCGATGGAGCTGGAGGACTTTCCGGTCGACCTGCAGCGTCTGACGGTCGTCATCGCCTTCAACTGCGCCAACGAGGGCGTGGTGCCGCTGCGTTTCGGTGGCCTGCAAAACGTGGCGCACAGCGTAAACACCAACACCTTTGCCCTCGCCAACGTGTGGTACCTCCATCCCAGCCTCGTCCTCGAGCGAGCGGTGCTTGAGCTCATGCCAGGCAGGACGTATCCGGCGCTCAACGTGACGGCGATAGTCGAGCGACGGCCCAATGCCTTCTTGACCAACGCGGTGCTGCCGGTGGGCGTGCTTGGGCTCATCTCGCTCTCGACGTTTCTGCTTCCGTACGACGATACGGCCGACCGGATGGAGCTCTCGATCACGATCCTGCTCACCTCGGCCACGTACAAGCTCTTCACCGCCGCGTCCATCCCTGAAGTGGCCTACTGGACTCTGCTCGACAGGTACATCATCTCCAATTTCCTCATCATGACACACATCACCATCAACGGAGCCGTCATCGGCTACTTCGACTCGCAAGAGGCGCACGTCGTGCTCGCCATCCTCAACACGTTCTTCTACGTGGTGGCGCACGCGCGTTTCGCGTACGGCTACTCTTGTGCGAGGCGCAACAACGCGATGGTGGTGCTGAAGGAGCTGGGGTTCGAGATCAACGATGATGTGTTTGAGCGGTACCACCGCCTCACTGCCACTAAGAAGCCGGCCAGCGCGAGAGCCTCGAGATGGTCCAGGGCGGCGAGGTGGCTGCCGGCATCGACGCGCCTCTCGCGCGTGACCCCGGCGCGCCTCTCGCGCGCAAGCCGGCAGTGCAGCACCACCGAGGACCGCCTTGCGAGGCCCTCGAGCGGTCCGTTGGCGGCGGTCAGCGGTGAGCCCCCGCGATCGGCGAGAGTGCACCCTGTGGAGGCAGCGCCGCCACTCCCCGGTTCGGCGCCGGCCGAGGAGACCAGCCGCCGCCCCCCGACGCTGCGGGAGCTGGAGAGCAGGGGGCAGGGCGGGTCAACGTAATGCAGGCAGTTCTTGTTGCTTCGCCTTTTTTTTCAGCGCCGCTCAAAATGAAAAGACGGACGACTTGCGTCGATGCTCAACCGCTCCACGCCACGCCGCTTGGGCGGTGGTTGCGAGATATTTTTTCTGAGCGGGCCGCTCAAAACGAAAATGGCTCGCTCTTCCGTGTATGCCGTACCGCGCTCGCCGCTCGCGCCGCATGACCCCAACGCGATCCTCGTCGCACAGCGCCCCGCCGCCGCCAAGCCGCAGACGCTCCGCTTCCACGAGCTCATCGCGGGCGCCTCGCACGACCCGGCGCGAGCACCGCCTCGCCTCACCGATACCGAGCGCTCGCCTCGCCACGCCTCACCGAGTCTCTCCTACGCAGGCCTGGGCGCGGCGCATCCTCTCCGCGCTCAGCGGCGCCGAGAAGTCGCTCCTCCGCGACACCCAGCCCGCCCTCACCGCCGCCATCGCCACGCTCCTCTCCTCCTCGGAGCTTGTCGGCCAGGACCTCTTCCGGCTGACGACACACCTGCTCGCGGTGAAACGCACATGATCGCCCTTCGCAGCTCCCAGTCCGGCTCCCGATGGCGCGCCTCTCGACGAAGCCGGCACGCTCACCACCTCTCTCCTCGCCGCCCCCGCAGCACGTCTCCGACGCCGCCTGGATAGAGGCCGTCCTCCCGCCCTACGCGGCGCAAGAGCCGAGGCTCGTGGCCGAGTCTCTCGCCGCCGTCCTGCTCAACGGACAGCCGCTCGCCGCCGAGGCGGCTCGCTGCCCTCAGCGCGCGCCCAGCTCCCAACCCTCTTCCTCCCACCAACACCCTCACCGCCAACCCGCCCCGCCCGGCTGCCCCACCGCCCCTCGCGCCCGGCGGTCCTCGCGCGCAGGCGCTCCTCTCGGCGCTGCTGCGGCACGCCGCCTCGCCTCGCTGCGGCCCACGGCTGCAAGTCGCACTCCTCTCCTCCCTCGAGCCCGTCCTCTTCGCATGGTCAGACGCCGCGCTGCAGCCGCACTCGGCCGCCCTCTTTGCCGCCCTCCGCGCGACCGCCTCGTCCCCGCTCGGCGCGGTCAGCGCCCCGTGGCGCCGCAAGCCTAGATGCGGGACACGCGCGCACCACTGCCTGTCACGTGCCGCTGGAAGCCATATTCCGGCCGCACGGCCCCCATCCCTCCCCGCCCGGTCTCGAACCCACGTGATCCGCGCCGAGCATCGAGCCGCTGCACCATGCGCACACATGCTCTTCAACAACCCCGCCTCCCACCCCTCCTTCAACACGCAGGCACCGCGCCGTCCGAGCCGTCGCCGCCCGCCGCGGGGCGAGCTGGGCAGCGGGCTTGGCAACCCTCCCTGCGCCGCCGCCCACGCCGCCGCCGCCCGCCCCGCCGCCGCCCGCCCCGCCCGTCTCGTCGCCCGCGTCGGATGCGGCATCGGCGCGCGCCTCCCACAGGCCCCGGGTGCGTGACGGCCCTGCCCGGGTGACGCGTCCCGGACGTACCAGGTGAGCTCTCCCGAGAGCGTCTACTCGGCCGCGGGATCCGACAGAGCGACCGGCCTCACTCCTCTGCTGGCGACGCTGCGCATCCACAGCCCGCCGCAAGTCTACAGCGCGCCGTCGCAAGTCTACAGCGCGCCGCCGCCCTCTGCGGCGCGTCCGGAGCGGCCCCTCTTCAGCCCCGTGCCGTGCCGCCTTCCTGGCGGCCGCCACCGCCCCTCCCTCCACCCGCGCCACCCGCGCCGCCGCCTGCTCTGGACCACCGCCGCCGCCGCCGCCGCCGCCGCCATCGCCGCTGCCGTGGGCTCCTGTGGCCCGCTTGCATGGTCCGAGGCTGCGGTGCCGGCCATGTCGGAAGCGCGCGGCGGGGCGGAGAGGTGCGCCGCCTCTGTCGCAGTGGCTGGCCTGGAGGCGGCGCCGGCGGCCTGGGGGGCGATGGAAGCGGCTCTGGCGGCGCTGCTGCTGGAGCAATGCGACGCCGCGCTGCCGCCGAGCTGTGACGCGCCGCCGCAGCCTGCAGGGCGAGCGGGCGAGCCGAGCGGCGTCCGCCTGCCCCCCTCGCGGCTGGGCGAGGGTGGCGAGGATGCCGGCCGGCCGGATCTGTTGGACGCAGACCGCTGGGAGACGTTTCGTGCCGCCCTGCAGCTGCCAGCTCTGCAGCTGCAAGCTCAGCAGCTCGCCGGCAGCATGCGGCCGCCCGAGACGTTCCTTGACGGGCCAGTTGGACTCGAGGAGCCAGTTGGACTCGAAGCGACCCACACACCGGACGAGTTTGGGATGCGCAACACGTCCGCGCCTCTTGACGACCTCTCCGCGCTTCTGACGCTCGAGTACACGCCTCTCCTCGACGAGCCGCCCGCGCCTCCCCTCCTCCCGGCGGCAGCGGAGCGGCAGGCAGCGCATCCGCTCGCGGGCCGCCGGCTCGTCGGCGCCATCTCGACGCACCCTCGCCTCGTGTGGAAGCCTCAGCTCCCGCGCTGCCCCGCAAAGTGCGGGCTCGCGCCAAACAACCGCTCGCTGCCGCGCCCCGACGCCTCCACCGCCGCCACGACCGCCTCCACCACCGCTCTTGCCTCGGCCGCCGCCGCCACGCCCGCCGCCGCCACGCCCACCGCCGCTGCAACCCGCCGGGTGCCACTCCTGGCGGTGGCTGTCGCCGCTCCGGCCGCCTCCGCGCCTCCGGCGCCCTCGGTGGCGTGGCGGACGCGGCTGCCGGAGTGGTCTCTCCCGAGCTTTGCGCTCGCCGTGCGCGGCCTCGCTGAGGCTGCCCCCTCCGCCCCTCGTGGCGTCCGCTTTGGGAACGCACATGACGCGCCGAGGGCAACCCCTCGTAGGTGCCGCTCGCCTCTCCGCTCGCCTCTCCGCTCGCCTCTCCGCTCGCCTCTCCGCTCGCCTCTCCGCCTCTCTCCTCCCGGGCGCGGCGCGGCGCGGCGGCCTCCCTCGCGCTCGTGTTGTGCGGCCGCAGCGGCAGCGGTGCGCCCGACGGGATCGACGTGATGGCACACCCAATCCACGTCACTCTCGAGCGGAGCCTGCCGCAGCTCGCGCCGAGGGAACACACGTTCGTCGAGGCTGCCACCGCCGCCGCGCTCCAGCACGCCTCCACCCTCCCCGCCGCCGCCTTCCCCGCCGCTGCCCCCCCCGCCGCCGCCCTCCCCGCCGCCGTACCCGCCGACGCCCTCCCCGCCGCCGTCCCCGCCGCCGTGCCCGGAAACACTTCGTCGATTTGCCCCTGGGCGCCCGTGGCGCGGCCCTCCACCGCCGCCGTCGGCCTCCGCCCGTCCACGCCGTCCTCCTCGCCGCAAGAAGCGCCGCGTGTCCGTGTCCTCTTCGCCGCCGCGCAGCCATTTCTGCAGCTTGCGGTGAGCGCGACGCCCTCGCTCGCATCACGAGGAGAGGAGGCGCGCCGGCATGAGTCCCGCACTCCCGCCCCGGCCTCCTCAGGTGGTCGCCGGCACACTCCTCAGCCTGCTCGGCTTGCTCGCCTTGAGAGCCGGCGCGGCCCAGTCTGCCCGCGCGCCGGCTGCTTGCGGCTCTGCTGCGGTGGCGGGCCACCGACTCGCGGCGCACGCGCGCGGGCGTGTCGCCTCACAGCGACCCGCCCCCGCCGTAGGTGGCGCAGCACGTGCGAGGCCTCGCAGTGGCGACGCCGCGTGCGCCGCCGCCTCTGCCGACGCAGCCGCTGCCGCGCACGCCTGAGTTTGAGGCGGCCTCGCGGGGAAGGAGCCGCCGCATGGCGCACGGCCGCGGCTCTCACCGACTCAACCGTGCGCGCCAGGTGACTCCGAGCGGCAAGGCTGCGCTGCGTGGGCTCGCGGGACCGGCGCCCAGCATGGCGGAGGAGGTGGCTGGCTTCGTGCGTGGCCTCGCCCGGGCGCGCGGGAGGGGCCGGCGGCCTCCGTACTGGAAGCGCCACCCGCATGAGTCAAACCCTGTTGACGGTGCAGGCGACTCCCCACCTCCCGTCGGTCTCTGCCAGCGACGCGTCGGGCGAGGAGGCGGAGCAGGCCGGCAGCAATTCAGGCGCCATTCCTGGCAGACGCCACCGCGCGGTTGCCATTTGGCGGCGATGGGCCTCGCTGACTTGTGCCCTCTCTTGATGGGTAGGTGTTGCGGCCGCGACAATCGGCCCCAAGGACCTGATCGGTCTTCTCGCCGGACAGGCCGATGCCCAGTGACGTCGAGCTGCGGTGCCGGAAACGGACGGCCGATTGACTCGACCGTTGCTGACTCTCCGCGGTGGGCAGAACAGGGGATAGGGAGGCTCGCTGGCGCCGGGCAGGAGCCAGCTCGTTTTGGGAGAACCACGTTGATCATGGCGCAATAGGGACGGACTCGGCCACGTATCTAGACACGCTGGGAGCGGGAGATCAAGAAGAAGGATCGGGCAACGGCACCCGTCACTACATATCATATCACGCCCAGTTTCAGCGGCCGTGTGAGCGCCGACAAAAGGGGTCCCTCTAAACTGAAAAATGAGAGCCTTCGCACTGCGCGGCTCTGCGGGGATATCGCCTCCACGATGCTCGATGGTCGCCACAGCCACACCCACACTCTGAGTCACTCTGCGCTGAGAGATGCACTCGCACTCTATGCGAGTTGCAACTTTCTCGCGCCACCGTCCACCCTTCGTACGGCTGTGTGAGCAGCCTCCCGGCGAGACCTCGAGGGACTGCACGCGTGCCCGCGCGGCGCGGTGCCCAGCCCATCGCCACGATCGCTCACAAGAGAACGCACCCCAGAGTACGAGAGACCCTTCCCCATGGCTGCCACTGCGCCAGCTGTCCTTGCGCGCGGGCTAGGCCGCCTCCCGCACCCTGGCCCTCGCAGCGGCACCTGACGCGCGCCTCGCCTTGGCTGCGGCGAGCGCCGCCTCTGCTGCCGCCGCCGCCGCTGCCGCCTCTGTCGCCGCCGCCTCTGCCGCCGCTACTGCCGCCTCCTCCGCCTCCTCCTCCGCTGCGGCAGCCTCCTCCTCCTCTGCCGCTGCCACGGCCGCAGCCTCAGCCTGCCGGCGCGCCTCCGCTGCCGCCTCCGCTGCCGCCTCCTCGCCCTCCTCTTCGCCCTCCTCCTCGCCCTCCTCCTCGGCCGCCTCCGCCGTCTCCTCCTCGCCCTCCTCCTCGCTCGCCTCGCCCGCCGCCTCTCCCAACGCCTCCGCCAATCCCTCGACCGACGTCTCCGGCGTGATGCCGAACCGGATCCTGTCCTCGTGGAGCTCCGCGAGAAGCTTGAGCAACCCCTCCCTGTCCAACGGCGCGGGCTTGGCTGCCGCCGCCTCTGCCGGCGCCTCCTGCGACGGCCCAGCGCCGCCGCTCCGACCGCCCTTCTTCTTCTTCTTCTTGCCCTTCTTGCCCTTGGCGCGCTTCTCCGCCTCGACCTCCGCCAGCAGCTCGTCGGCGTGCCGCGCCGCCTCCTTCTCCTCCGCCGCCCTCTGCGCCTCCCTCTCCGCCGCCTCCGCAGCCCACACCGCCTCTTTCGCCGCCTTCTCGGCCGCCGCCTTGGCCGCCGCATGCTCCTCGAGGGCGCGCACGCACTCGGCGCGGCCCTTCGCCTTGGCCCATTGCAGCGCGGTCTTGCCCTTCTTAGTGCTCAGCGTCATGTCTGCGCCCGCCCGCAGCAGCTGACGCACCACGGCGGGATGGCCGTTGGCAGCGGCGAGCATCAGTGCTGTGAAGCCGTTGTTGGCCTGCAGGTTGATCTCTGCGCCGTGCCGGATCAGCGTGTCGACAACCTGCGCGTGGCCGTTGTAGACGGCCTCGATCAGCGCAGTGCCGCGAACCTTGTTTCGCTGATTGACCTCCGCGCCGTGCCGCAATGCCAGCTCGACCAGGTTCTCGTGGCCGTTCACGGCGGCGAGACCCAGCGCATAGCTGATGCCGTCGCTGGTCTGCAATGAGACATCTGCACCACGCCGCAGAAGCGCCTCGGCCAGCCCCGCGTGGCCATAGGTCATTGCGATCATCAGCAGCGTCATGCCGCTCCTGCACGAGCCGTCATCAAAGACGTACTCGAACGTCGCGTCGACCCACCCGCCGCCGTCGAGCCACGCCAGCACCGCCGCCTCCTCGCCTCGCCCAGCCGCTAGCACGACCTCCTCTGGCACCGTCTCGCTGCCCGGCGCGGCCTCCGCACCGCCCTCGCCGCTCGAGGCAGAGGCCGCGGCACTGGCGCCCGCCGCCGCCGCGCCTGCGGGTGCGCCAACCCCTGCGCCACCCGCCTCGGCCGACGGCGCCTTGCTGCGAGCTGCCGCCACCTCCCCGAGATACGTCCTGAAGGCCTCGACGCACTCGGCGTGGCCCTTCTCCTTGGCAATCTGCAGCGCCGTCTTGCCCGCCGCAGTGCGCAGCGTCATGTCCGCGCCCGCCCGCAGCAAGCGAAGCACCACGGCGGGATGGCCGTATCGCGCGGCGAGCATCAGCGCGGTGCCGCCGAAGCTGGCCTGCATGTTGATCCCTGCGCCGTGCCGCAGCAGCATCTCGGCCACGCGCTCGTGGCCGTTGGCGGCGGCGGCCATCAGCGCGGTGACGCCGTGCTTGCGGTCCTGCAGATTGATCCGTGCGCCGTGCCGCAGCAGCATCTCGGCCACCTGCACGTAGCCGTTGGCGGCGGCGGCCATCAGCGCCGTATAGCCTTCGCTGTCTCGCGCGTCCGCCTCCGCGCCGCGCTCCAGCACCACTTCAACGAGCTGCTTGTGACCGTGTTCGGCGGCGATCAGCAGGAGCGTACAGCCGCTCACACCGCGATGCACGCACGTCGCGTCAACCAGCCCATCCCCGGCGAGCCACGTCTGCACCACGCCGACCTTGCCGTTCTCCGCCGCCGCCTCGATCCGTTTCGGCAGCGCGAGCGGCGCGGCAGTAGCCGCCGTTGACGCGTGCCCGCGCCGGGAGGCGGCCGAGCCAGCCTTCGTCCGGCCGGGCATACAGACGGGCGGGGTTGCAGGTGCTGAGCGCTCCCTCTCTTCTCGGTTTGCCTCCCGCGCTGGGCTTCGAAAAAAGAACTCCCCGTCGCCCGCGAAAAGAATTTTGCCCATGTTTTCTCTTTCGTGTGTGCTGCTGTGGGCCTGCCGCATCCCGCTCCCCACCTGGAAGAGGATGACACCGCAACCGCACCCGGTCTCTCATGCTCGAGCTCGGCTCAGCGGTCGACATCGTCCTCTCCTCGGTCGAGGAGCGGTACGAGCTCGCCACCCCGTTCCGCAGATCTTTCTCTCCCTCTCTCCTGATTCGGAGCCATGCCAGAAAATCCTAATACTCGGGTGGACAACACACGCAAACTCCAAACAGTTACAGAAAGGTACAGAATTGCACAGGCGTTTCACACACAAGTAACAGCGAGGCCACCTCGCTGCCAGGCCACATGCATGTCGTGCAGCCCAGCGGGGACGGGGAGCCGGCGGCTGGCCTGCGACCAAAAACAATGGCACCGGCGGTGGCCCACGCGGTGGTTCAAGACGGCTTTCAAAGTAGCGCAGGTCGGTCAGATCTCAGATGTCAAACTCGCCCACCCAATGGCCGTGCAGACCCAGCGGCACTCGGCTGGGAACTCGAAATAGCGCGGCTTGCTGCATGGTCTCGCCTACGACGCAACCGAGGCGCACTTCTCAGCTTCACCGCTTCCAAGCAGCGCCACATGGTCCGGCGTACCGTCGATGAGGGAGACGAAGCTATCCCCGTCCCGCTCGTCATGCACGAAAGTAATCAAATACGCGGCGTCGGAGGCGTCTGCTGCCTTGGCGCCCGCTGGCGTGGTGTCGGCAGCCGCGCCCGCCTCGCCGTCCCCCGTCATCGCACCCGAGGTAGACTCTGAGAGGCTGGACGCTGCTGGCGCAGTGGCCCGTCTCACCACACCATCCACGGCCCTGCTCCCGCCTCCGCCCGACGCCGGCCTCACCTTGGGCACGACGATCGGCTCTCCGCCCCAGCGGCCGGGCCCGAAGCGCGCAGCCTTCTGCAGCCCACCCCCGCCGCGCGCAAGCTCCCATTTGATTATGCCCCCGAAGCGCGCGTCGCCACCGTCCATCTCGCCCGAGAAGCCATAGCGGGCCGGGCGGCCGACGTAGTCTGGGGCGAGGACAGGGCGGCTGGTGGGCGAGTGACGAACGCGAGAGGGTGGCGGAGGGCCGCACCCGGGTGTAGGCGGCAAAACTCGGTGTTGCGCGTCTTGTCGACCATCCGCGTCGTAGCGGTACCCGTGCGAAGGTCGAGCACCACCTGCAGGGCACGAGTCGCGGGGGGTTTTGCCCCCCACCGGGTCCCACTTGTGTCCTTCAAGACAGGCTAGACGCACCTCGGCCATGTACGCCTCGTTCTCGGGGTTGGCCGAGCCGTCAAAGCTCGTGCAAACTGGCGACCATAGCACAATGGTATCGCCACCGTCCTCCTCCCACGCGTTGAGCGGATGCACGACTCCGAGGGGAGCATCGAGCGTGAACCACCTAGGAGGGCGGAGAGCGCGGGTGAGCGAGGCAGGGGCGGGCTAGGCTAGCCGTGCAAGGGAGAAGGCGTGCCGGATCTCCGACTCAGAGGTCGAGTCGAGGGGCGCCACGCCAATCCGACCTGGCCGCGAGTCGTCAAAGTGTCCAAAGGTTCCCGAGAAGACGGCGTTGAGGCCGACAGTGATGGACATGTCGAAGAGGAGAGCCTGGGGGGGGGGGGGGGATAGGAGGGAGGGGGGCGCGGCGACCTCCGGCGCGGCTGCGGAGGCGCGTACGTAGTGGTCCGTCACCGCGAGGTCGTGCATCAGCCCAGAGGCGTACTGCGGGTCCAGCTCCACCTTGCGCATCAGCTCGAACTTGCCGTTCGGCGCTTGCCGCATCCGCCCCCACCACTTGCGCGCCGTGGCGCCAAAGCTGTAGCCGTGAAAGATGAGGTCGCCCGAGGGTGCGTGCACCTTTGGGTGTGCCGTGAATGGGAAGTCGAGCTGCCCATCAAAGTTCTCAAAGCCGTGAGACACGACCTCGCCCTCGCCTGTGAGGGAGAACTCAAACGGCAAGCCAGTCTCTGCCAACGCAAAATGCCTCTTGCCCCAGGTCATGATGGCGGTGTTTGCGACCGACCCGCGCAGCATGTCCATTCCTGCGAGTTCCATCTTTGAGGTTGCCACGAGCAAGGCCTTCAGTATGCCGGGCACCCCCGCGAGCTCGCCCAGAGTCATGAAGTAGGTTTGCCCCAACTCCCGCTCGTGCTCATACCGATCCGTGGCCAGCCACGAACGGCTGTAGAGCGGCGGCGCACCCGCCGCCGCGCCGCCGGCGGCGGAGTCACCCCCGCCAAACCGCACCGAGTGGATCATCCCGTGCCCGTCGAACCAGTGCATACGCTTGTCGTAGCCATTGTCTGGCACCGGGTTTGGGCCGTTGCGCATGAAGCAGCCGGCGGGCATGTCGGGTGGCAAGGCGCCCTCGACCAGCTCAAGTGGTGTCGGCGGCATCGTGCTGTCCACCTACGGGTATCGCACCGGCGCACCCCGTTGCGCGCGACGCGTGCGTCAAGTGCACCAGCTGACACTCCTATCGATGACGCGTGGCGAGCTGCTACTGTCGCTGCACCGGAGCGAAGAGCCCATTGAGATACCTGGTCGGTTCGGTTGGCGCAGTGGGTGCGAGCGAGGGAGGAGGGGCGCGGCAATACGCTTGATGACTGCGCTGACGAGGTTGCAAACACGCGTTGGCGCGTGCGTGCGCGGTGGCTAGATGCGCCGCCCCTGGCTCCCTGGCTATGAATGCGCGGGGAAGTGGGAGGGCGGGCCGTGGCTCACGGATTCTCGGCGTTGAAGGCCTCAGCATCCTGCAGCTGGGCGAGCTGCCGGTCCAATGTATCAAGTTGCTTTGCGATCTTTTTCACCGGACACTGCGTCGGCTCCGCCGGCGCCGCAGCGGTCTCGTCACCAATGATCCGCGCTATCCGACTGATGTGGGCCGAAACGGGCGCAGGGGAGGCTCTCAGTGTATGCGAGCTGGCAGAGCACCGGCGCGCCCATCCGACGCGGTGTGGGGACATGGGTGGTGCGAGAGCTGCTGCGGCCTGGACGCAAACGGGTCCGCACACCTTCGTGGCGGCGGCTGCATGCGGAACGGGAGGCCCTCGGTATGAAGCCGCTTGAGCCCCCAGTGCAGAGGGAAGGGGAGCGCGCTGGTGAGCATGAGGATGTGCGAGAGCGGCGTCGCGCTCTGCGCAGCGTGCGCCAGCAGCGCAGTGTCCACGCTGAGCACCATGGCGAGCCGCGCAGGCACTGACTGCCTGGACGGATTGAGTACACTCCGCGCCGCGAGTTTGTCGTTGGGCCAAAGCGCCAGCGCCGACGAAGAGTCCGCGATTCTTCGCGAACGTTGATTACTGAGGCAACCCAGCCCAATCTAACGCGAATTCTTTTCACCTCCAGCTCCTGCACCTCCGCGCGCCTCCCGTGCCGCACGCCTCAGGCAGAGGCCGCCGTGCTGCATTCGACGATGAGGTCAATCGCGACAATGCTCGCCTTCCTTGCCTGCGCGAGCGCGCTGAGCGTGCCAGCGCAGTGCGCTCTGCGGCAGCCGGCGGTGCAGCGCGCTCGCACTCCTCACGCCATGCTCGAGCCGGTCGCGACGCTCTCGGGCCTTGAGCAGCTCGCCGAGTCGCCAGCAGCCGCTGGGGCGGGGCTTCCGACGTCGGCGGTGCTCGCCGACGTCCTCGACGTCGTCCAGGGCTTCGCCGACTCGCCACTCATCCTGCTCGTCCCGATTGGCGCGGGCACGCTCGTCGCGAGCATCATCATCGCCATCCTCGTGAAGAGCGCCGGATAGCTGGGTCTCTCACATCGCCGCTTAGGGGCCAAGGCTTCAGCGTCGAGTCGATTGGATTCCCTCCATGCCTTTGATCTCTCCGCACTATCTATGTGTCGATTGGATTCCCTCAGTCTGCCAGGCTGGCCAGCACGAACACGTACGCCATGCAAGTTTCAAGTGGTTTAGTGCACGTGAGATTTTTAGGGCGATGCATGATAAAAACCGCGCGCCACAGGCTTCCACAGTCCAGTCTCCAGACAGAGCGTGTAGGCGTACGGCTAGCGCTCATCAGCACCTCAGGCTCTCAGCTCACGCGGACCGCGGCGGCGGCGCGGTTGTTCGCGTCGCGACGACGGCGTAGAGCGGGTCGCCCTGCGGCTTGCCGCCGCCTCTCCTCCTCGCGCTCGGCGGCGTGAGGTCGACGGCTTCGGGCGGCGTGAGGAGGCCTGGGGCAGGGCAGGAGGTAGGCCGAGGTCAGGCAAAGAGACGTCTCCGGACTCCGTCCGCGGGCGAGGGCTGGGGGGTCGCTCCTCCGGCGCCGTAGTGGACGTAGGAGCCGACGGTGTAGACGTGCTCTAAGTCATCCTTGCCGGTCCACAACGCGACCGCCTTCGAGAAGAAGAGGCGGTTCGAGAAGACGAATGCAACCTCGGAGAAGAAAGAACACGGGAAAGTTGAGTAGTTCATTCCTCAATAGGGGAGGCTCGAGAAGATCAATACAACCTTACCGCCCGGCCTCAGCACGCGAGCAGCCTCGGCGACGACCTCGAGCGGTCGCACCTGCGGGACGTGTCATGGACGTGTCATGGACGTGTCAAGGAGGTGTCCTCCCGCGCCGACCTCGATCAGTCGAACCTACCAAAGTCAGTGCAGCAGAGGGTGGTGGACGTGTGCGTGTGCTGCCGGACAGCCGGCGCGGCAGCGGAGGGGGGAGGACCAGGTAGTCGATCGAGACGGTGCAGGTGACCGCGTCGAAGGAGGCGTCGGCGTACGGCAGCGCCTAACGACGCTCCGAGAAGAAGGCTCGGGGAAGGCGCCGGCGCGTCGAACGGGGAGGCGTCGGCACGTGGCGGCGCCGGGCTGCGGTTGAGATCTTGCACCTTGTACCCCGTCAGCACCTGTGCGGTTGCGTGGAAGGCAACGGGCGCCTCCGCTACCTCTCTCGCAGATCTCCCGCTACCTCTCTCGCAGATCTCCCGCCACCTCCCTCGAGTCTGCCGCGGCTCGCCGGTCTCTTCTCCCGTGGCTGGTGTTGTCCTCGGGCAACGCACCGGGTTGGCGGCGAGCTCGGCGGCGTTCATGCCGAGGCCCTCCACGCGGCCGAGCGGCGGGCCTAGGAAGTAGCACAGAGGAGGCAGAACACGGGTGCAGCCGAAGTGCAGCCGAGATACAGCCCGAGGTGCAGCCGAGGTGCAGCCGAGGTGCAGCCGAGATGCAGCCGATTGGTGTGTGTCGGTGGTATGATCCGTGGTGTCACGTCGTTGCCTGTGCCCGCCGGCGGGTAGTGGCTCACCCACGAGGAGCAGAGGTCAAGGACCTATGGGACACGAGACGGACATGTCACGGACGCAGCCTTAGTGCCTCACCGAGGAGCGAAGGGTGAGGACACAGAGAGAGGCCGCGGCGGTGCTTCGCCGGAGGCGGCGAGCGAGGCGAAAAGCTGCGAGTAGAAGCTCGTCGTCGAGGCGACGGCTGCGTCGTCGATGTGCTGGACAAGCTTCGGGTCGTCGTAGAAGCGCGAGTCGTCGCTTTCGTCGAGGCGGCGAAAGTCCTCCCGAGTGAAGGGCGCCGTCTCATCCCATGTCGCGCTCTCCAGCACGGCGCGCACCTCGCCTGGCTCCGCCGCCGACGTCGACGCAGGCAGAGCCAAGAGCACCGCGGCGCCCAGGTTGATGAGAGCCCGCCTGCCAATGCTCGCAGAGCCTGAGCCGGCCAAGAAACCGACTTGCTCTGCCGCTGCGAATCGCCGTGGTGCGATGCCGGACGTAACTGGGCTCATAGCTACAGGTAGGAGTCGTAGTAGCATTCGAGGCTTGGACAAACGAGCGGGGATCGAGCGGTACGCCAGCTCGTCGAAAAAAAACAAAAAACCGAGGGGATGTCCGTGTCTTCTGATAAACGCAGTATGGAAGATACAAAGAGACGGAGGAGCAACGAGCGCCCTGGCGTGAGCCGAAGACACTCCCTCCGTAGACACTGATCACACACGGGTGGGACAGGGTGGGTCACAACAACGAGGCACGAGAGCGTGCACGACAGAGCGACGGCGCAGCGTACCGCCGTCCAGCTAAAAAGCGGCGGCCGACGGTTGCTGCGCAAAGTGATCAGTTCTAAAATAGGTGCCGGGGCCCAACGGATAGATGAATCCGGGGCACCCTCCGCTCGAATCCCTGGCCGGGGTTCGAGGTGGCCCCCACCCTGGGGCCTCCCATCAAAGGGACTGCAGCAGAAGACGCCCAATCTTGCACAAGTGCAAGAACCATACGTCTTCTGATAAACGCAGTATGGAAGATACAAAGAGACGGAGGAGCAACGAGCGCCCTGGCGTGAGCCGAAGACACTCCCAACTGCGCTCCGTCACCGGTGTCGCGGTCTCCCCCACTGAGGGCGATCTGCGGGGGGGAGTCGCGCCGCCGGCATGTATCTGTGCAACTGTGTTTTTGCCTTGTCCCGTTTGATGGAGCAAAGTCACGGGCCGCCCGCGCTTGAAGGCGGTCGCGCCAGGCGCGGGCGGCACTAGTTGCCGGCGATCCGCTTGGGCAGCGCCCACGCTTGCCTCTGGCTGCGTCTCCATAGGTCGCGCGGCCCGAATGCTCAAAGTGAACGTCTCGCAAGCTGGCGTCGCTCGCGTAGCTGTGGCAGGGCGATCCTCCCTCCGGATGAGGGAGATCTCTAGCCTCCTAACGAGGTTGCCCTCCGGCTGGCTGTTGCCGACAGCAGTTAACACCTCCGCAGTTGCGTCGGTCGCGCCACAGGTAGAGACGTGGGTGCGACCGATCGTGCTACAACCTACACAAGAAGGAGTCAGCGCGAGGGGCGCCCCTCGCGCCCATGGAGAGGACGAAGGCCAGACCGGTGGACTCGTGGACAGCGCCTCAGCGGCTGCGTCTCTGCGTGATTCTTGTGGCGTACATGTGCATGTGCATGCACATGTGCATGTGCATGTGCAATTGTGCATGCAGAAAGCGGGAGACCTGCACGTGGCAAAATTGCCACATGCAGAAAGAGGGAGATTTTTTGTTTGTAAGCGGAGTCGTCTGAGGGGAGGGAGCTCCGGGCGTTTTTGATCGACAAAAACAAAACAAACACTATGGGCAATGAAACCGCGCGTCACCGCCACCGTCTTTGAATGGTGCAAGCAAGCCGGGGGTTCCGAGCTATGAACACGCGCCAGCTTGGCAGCCGGACGATAAGAAGCTCAGCCGCGTATCACCGCTCAAGCAGCACCATGGAGCCCATCAAGTGCAAGGCGATGGTCGCCTTCGGCGTTAACGACCTGCGCGAGGAGGAGGTGATCGTGGCGCCGCCCAAGGCCGGGGAGGTCCGCATGAAGGTCGCCGCACCTTGCCACGCCCGCGCCATGCCGACGCGTCGCCCACGCACTCAAGGTCCGCCGCGTGGCCGTACAGGTGATGTGCAACGCCCTGTGCCACACGGACATTTACACGCTGAGCGGACAGGACCCCGAGGGCCTCTTCCCGAGCATCCTTGGCCACGAGGCGGGCTGCGTGGTCGAGGCGGTCGGCGAGGGCGTCACCTCTGTCAAGGTTTCCTCTGCCTCGGAGCCCTTGTAAACCCGCCGGCTCCGCCGCGCGCCAACCTCCGCTGCCGCCTCCCAGGTCGGCGACCACGTCGTGCCGGGATACACGCCGCAGTGCAAGGGCTCGGACTGCATGTTTTGCATGTCGCCGAAGACCAACCTCTGCCCAAAGATTCGCGGGACGCAGGGCAAGGTGCCGCCACGTAGCTGCGCCCCTCGCCGCCGCCGCCGCCGCCGCCACCCACACCAGCGGCGAGGCAGCCCTCCTCTCCCCCGCCCCCTGGCCGCTCGCCGCCCGCCCGCTAAACTAGCCTCGCCTCCCGCCCTCCGCCGCCTGCAAACTCCCGCCCCGCACTCACCAGCCGCTTCGCCACCCCACCTCACCTGCCTCCCTCGTCGCCGCGTGGAAAGGGCGTGATGCCGGACGGCACCTCGCGCTTTACCCTCGCCAAGGACGGCTCCACCGTCTACCACTTCATGGGCTGCTCCACATTCGCAGAGTACACACTTCCTAGACACCTCCTAGACACCTCCTAGACACTTCCTAGACACTCCATGGGCTGCTCCACATTCGCAGAGTACACACTTCCTAGACACCTCCTAGACACCTCCAAGACACCTCCTAGACACTCCATGGGCTGCTCCCCCTTCGCAGAGTACACACTTCCTAGACACCTCCTAGACACCTCCTAGACACTCCATGGGCTGCTCCACATTCGCAGAGTACACACTTCCTAGACACCTCCTAGACACCTCCTAGACACTTCCTAGACACTCCATGGGCTGCTCCACATTCGCGGAGTACCACACCCGCCTCGCAGAGGTCTTCCCGCCCCTCTCCCTGTTCGGTCCACCCCTCTCCTCGCTCGCAGGTACACCGTCCTCGCGGAGATCTCGATCGCAAAGATCGACCCAGCCGCGTCGCTAGAGAAGGCGCCTCCTCCTCCCGCCACGGCGCACCTCGACCGTCCTCGGGCGCTCAGACTAGAGCGGAGCCGACGCAGGCGTGTCTCTTCGGCTGCGGCATCTCGACCGGCCTCGGCGCCGTCTGGAACAACGCGAAGGTCGAGCCGTTCTCGTCCGTCGCCGTCTTTGGCCTCGGCGCCGTCGGCTTCGCCGTCGTTCAGGCGGCCGAAGCAGCAGGCGGCCTCGCGCCGTCCTGGAGCCTGCCTGGACCTCGCCTGGAGCCTTCCCGCAGGCGGCCAAGGCGGTGGGCGCCTCCCACATCGTCGGCATCGACGTCAACCCGAACAAGCGCGAAGACGCGGCTCCTGCGAGGCGCCGAGCCTGGCCGCGCTTCCACCCCGGGCCTGCCCGAGCTTAGGTTCGAGATGGCCAAGAAGCTCGGCTGCGACGTCTGCTACAACCCAAAGGACCACGGCGACGAGCCGATGCAGCAGGCGGCCGTCGGGGGGGCTCGCGAGAGATCGCAATCTCCCGAGAGATCGCAATCTCCCGGCCCTGGCGCAGAACCCCACCCCCCACCCCCCACCACCTCGGCCGCAGGTCTTGGTTAAGAACTCGCCCACCGGCTTCGGGTTCGACTACACCTTTGACTGCACCGGCAACGTCAACGTGACCGCCCTCCTCGGCGCGCAGTGCGGCGGAGGGAAGGGCGCGGCTTCACACCCGTCTCTGCGAGCAGGCGATGCGCTCTCGTGCAACCTCGTGCAACCTCGTGTCATCTCGTGTCATCTCGTGTCATCTCTGCGAGCAGGTGATGCGCTCCGCTCTCGAGGCGGCGCACCGCGGCTGGGGCCAGTGCTGCCTCGTCGGCGTTGCCGCGGCGGGCAAGGAGATTGCGACGCGCCCCTTCCAGTTCATCACCGGCCGCCGCTGCTTCGGCACCGCTCCCGCCGCGCCGCGGCCAGAGGCGGCGGCGAGCACAGCGCGGCGGTCACGCGTGGTGTGTGGTGAGAGCAGGCACCGCGTTTGGCGGCTGGAAGACGCGCGACGCGATCCCGATGCTGACCGACAAGATGATGAAGGCGAAGGGCAGACCCTTCCGAGACTCTTTGCGAGACGCCTCTGCCCCCACCCTCTCTCGCTCCTCTCTCTGGCCCTGCCGGCTGCGTCCCGGGCTCACACATCTCTCGCGTCGCGCCGCCCTGTGACCTGTGCGCGGCGTGTCCGCAGGGCGAGATCGCCGTGGACCACTTCATCACCCACCGCTTCAACGGCGTCGGCGAGACGACGAAGGCCATCGACGCGCTCCACTCGGGCGACTGCCTGCGCGCGGTGGTCCACTACTGCTGACGGACTGACCGCGGTGCCGCGGGCCTGCAGGTGCTAGTGTGGTGGGTGAGTGTGCGTAGGTTGGGTTTCGCAATGCTTGAAACCGCGTCAACGAGGTGTTTTTTTTTCGCCGCGGATTGCGGCGACCCCACGCGAGTAGCTGGCGAGTAGAGGCCCCGGGCCCACCCTGCACCCAGGCGGCTGATGGTGCTCCCAAGCCTGCCGATGGACCTCCTGCCAAGCATCTGCTCGCACTTGCGCGTGCGCGACCTCATGGTCATCTCGCGAGCAGGCCGGACCGTTCGCACCATGATCGCCTCCGACGCACACTGCAATCGAGGATCTCGACCTGTGCTTTGCTCTCGGGCCCCGAGCGGCACGCGCTGCGGCATCTCTGCTTCCAGACGGGTGGTTTGGACTCTGCGCCATGCTCGTCCGCGAGGGAGGTGCGTGGATCGGCGATCTTGGCGTGGCGGCACCGCGCCGCCGCAGCTCCCGTGCCAACGACATGCTGCTGGGCTCAGCTGAGCGTCCGTTGATGCTGGGCCCTGACCACCCAGATTTTCCGATCCCAAACATGTTCATGTTTCGCCCGGTGCAGCGCACCGTTCTCTCGGTCGCCGAGTTTGAAGAGGCGGTCGCCGCAGCCGATCCCTTTGACACCATCTGCATCGCAGCCGACCTGAGCTTCACTCAGGCGGACATCGACCGCGGCATCTCCTCACTACAGAAGCCGCTGCGCCTCATCGGGGCCGATGTTGAGGCGCACGCTGAGGGTCACAGATTCGACAACGTCAACGATGGTGGCCGCCGCGGGGGCGTGCATTTTCCGATTCGCCGGCACATTCTGCGCGTGCTGAGCGACACCTTCTACGCCCAGGCTCCCGGTATCGCTCTGGTCAATCTGACGATTTTCGCTGGCAACATTGACGTGGCCGTGGAGCCCATCTGTGAAGAGGCGGTCTTTCCCGCCCTCCAGATTCAATGGGGTAGCGTGATGATCGAGGACTGCAACATCTTTGCACAGCAAGGAAGCGCCACCATCCTCCCAATGCGCACCTGACACACTACTACTACGCCGCATCATGCCGACGTGAGTGAGCTTACCAAGAAGGACTTCCTCGCGTCCAACTCGTGGTCCCGAGCGAAAAGGCCCACGATACCTTTCTCGGGGGCTATGATTACACTGGCCAGACGATTCACCCGTGGCGGCACGGCTGGAGCCAGTGACAGGCGAGCCGACTGCAGGAGGCCGACGCCGTCGACTCCATTGCGCAGCCTTTGATTGCGCACGTACATGTGTGAGCTGTGGCGTTTATGTGAGCTGTTGGCTGTGTGGGTCCGCCCGCAGGCGCGGTACATCCCGAGGCGGTGCACGGGAGCTTTTACAGGGTCTAGGTGTGTCTCGAGTAGGGCTCTCGCCGCCGACGTGGGAATGCTTGCACTGTCTGGCCGATGCGGAGTGCTTGCATTGTAAGGAAAAACGGAAATATTTTCTTTTTCACCCCAGCGCCTAGGATTCCGACTTTTGCGTTTTCCTGGGGGGAAAGGGTAGCGGCTAGGGTGGCATCGCGGGATTTGGCGTAGGGGGGTAGGGGGTGGGGCGTGGCTGCCACAGAGACGTCCGTTAAACGCCCAAATGGAGGGGGTAGGGGGATAGGGGGTCTGCACAGATGTGAACCCTACCCTACCCCTCACATCTCGAACCCAGGCTGGGAGGGTTGCGAGTGTCATGGACGAGCTGGCGCTCAGCCAACGCCGCCCGTCGTCACGCGACGGGTTTGTGCTCGAGGTTGGCTTTCTCGTGAGACACGTGCACACCGGCCGCCTCCATAGGATCATCGACATCGACTTTTGGGGTGGCGCGCATGACATCGGTGGGCACACGCTGATCACTGAGCTGGTGACTTCAGACGGACTCCCCCTCGACTCGGAGCCCGACATTTCCGATTCGGACGAGGAGGCGTTTGATGACGGACAGGTATACGCGCACGAGTTTTGCGGGCGAAACGGGAGCTTCGAACGCACCTCTTTCTGCGAGCGGTGCGACATCTACTTTTGTCCCGAGTTTGTGACGTGGTGCTTTGACAGCAAGCCGGAGCGGGAGTGGTTTGAGCTTGCGTACATCAACAAGTACAACCACAACGATCTGTGGGGCCCAAGGCTGCATCGCCGGAAGTCTTCCTGCCAGCGCTGCGAGGCAGACCGCCCGAATGGATTTGTCCTCTGGCAGCAAGTGCGCCGCTGGCTTCGTCTGCGGTCCGCGGCCGAGTACTGGAGCCGACTGGCGCACCACCCAAAGTACGTCTCCACGCACGCAGCCCTGGCATCGGCTGACCTCGCGGCCGTTCTCGCGTGACCGACATGAGATGACTCCATTGCATGTGTGAGCTGTGGGCTGTGAGGGTCCGCCCGCAGGCGCGTTACTTTCCCGAGGCGGTGCCCGGCGCCGAGCCTTTAGGGTCCATGTGTGTCGAGTAGGGCTCTCGCCCGACGTGGGATCGACCGCGCGGTCCCGGAGGCCGCGGGCCATTAGCGGCCGGGGGGGGTCCTGTCTGAGTCGTGTGTCGGCTTTATGTCTACGGCGAGATGCCGGTCCGGCTGTTGGGCGTTTTTGTTCTACACCATTCTTCGGGCACGCAGCTAGAGCCTGAGCCGTAGTACGCACGCGCCTTGTACGTAGCTAGCTGAGTGATGGCTCGCCGCGAGGCGAGAGTCTCGCGCCTCTACGTCTAGCCGCCGCACCTCTCTCTCCGCTCGCGCCTCGCCGGCCCTCGGTGGTCCTCGCCCTCGCGCCTCGCCTCGCACCCCACACTCTAACCACCTTGCACCTACTGTGACAGCAGTGAACACAAGTCGCAAACGAGTCTCAGAACTCCACTCCTATTCAGGGATCGCTGCTTGCCAAGCTCAGCGGTGGTGTAACGTCAGTGGTAGGAAGAGGCGAGCTCGATGGTCGTGCCGACTGGTTCGTCGTGCAGGGACCAGGGAGGCGCTCGGCAGAGGACCAGTTGGGGGCATGAATACCATGTTGTAACCGAACTTCTCCACGCTGCGATCTGGCACGCCCCACTTCTCCTCAATGATGAAAGCGAGCTTAGAAAGTGCAAATTCCAGATCACCCACTCCGGGGGTTTAGGTACAAGTAGCCCGGAATGCGGTTGCATACAAATGTATAGTGCTCCAAGTGCTACTTACTCTCTCTCACAGCAGACAGGCTCGACACAGGCGCGGGCTGGCACGTGCTGGTACAACACAGGCACGTTTAAAAAGAGCGAAAAAGCATAAAAAGAATTTGACAACAAAACTCTCTGCTCTCGCACAACACTGACTGGTAGAGAGAGAGAGCAGGCGGACATCGCTTCCAGGGAGGGGGGCGCGCTTCTCTCCACACCACATCCTAGGGGGGGGGTCCGACCCCCCCCAGAGGCTTCACCACATGCTGGGGGGGGGGGGGGGTCACCGCCGAGGACCCCCCAGAGACTCGTGGTCAGACCCTCCGAATAGGGTTTGTGGAGCGTCCAGACATGTACAGAATGTGCAGAAGGTGTACAGAAGACGTACAGAAGGTGTACAGAAGGTGTACAGAAGGAATGTACAGAAGGTTTTGCAGAAGGTTGAAGGAAAAGAAAGCTGCATGCGCTCTCACTGGCTGGTTGTACGGCCCTCAAGGCATGCCCAGACACAGGGCACAGGCAGCAAGGACTCTCTGTCTGTCTGGCTGGCTGGAGCAGTGACATCCACATTGTCGTGTCTGTGCAGCGGCCGGACAGTTCGGAGAGGCCATGGGTGTACCTGTGCACATTCTGCTGAAAAAGCCTGCTAGAGGCCTTCTGCACATCTGCTAAACGCCTTCTGTACATCTGCTAAACGCCTTCTGTACATTTTGCTAAAGCTTGCTAAAGGCCTTCTGCACATTCTGTACATCTTGTGGCGCGAAGCGGGGGCGCAACGCGCGCTTTGCAACGTCTCCCGTCGTGTCCGGCGATCGCCCTCATAAGCGGTCGTGCGATGCGGATGCAAGCCTTGGGATGCAGCCTTGGGAATGCCGCCATCACCCCGGGCGGCACCACCGCCGCGACCAGTTCGCCGGTGACCGAGCAAGCAAGCGGGTTGGGCAGCCGGGGTTGACGGGCGGCGCAATGGCCAAGGCTGCCCGGGTTGGCGGGGTTGGCTGAGTCGGTGGCGCCGGTCGCGCAGCATCTGCGGTGCCAGCCGCCGTCAAGGGAGGCACCGCGCCCAGGCTCGCGGGAGGAACACCATCCTGCTAAAGACGTTTGGCGATCTTCTATGGACAACGGCAGCAAAGCTACAAGTCTTTGAGATGGCGATGGCTGAACAAACCTTGCTGTCGGAGTCAGGAGGGAGCCCAATAGGGACAAAAAGAGTAGCTTATCGTGAGGCAATCGAGGCAGCTCGCAGCAAGACTGTCGCCGACACGAGCGGTGAAGCGGAGCGGGCGTCGGGCAGCAAGCGTGCCCGGAGGGGGTAGTTTTTTGCTTGTTTGTTGTTGTACACCGCCTTGAGATGTAAAAATCACATATTCAGTAAGAGTCTGATGGGCATGACCACACTTGGAGAGGTGTACAGAATGTACAGAATGTGCAGAAGGTGTACAGAAGGTGTACAGAAGGTGTACAGAAGGTGTACAGAAGGTGTACAGAAGGCTTCTGGTCAAAATGCAGCTATTCCACCCTTCACCATTTGAGCAGGCCAGCTCCCCAGCCCTGGCTTAATTAGTAGTAGATCTAGATCTTTCAAATGTGCTGCTCTCAAATCTAGTCTGGTTCAGAATGGCGTCCGCGGTCCCGAGATATTACGTAACAAAGGTTTCCCTGGACGCTCCACAAACCCCGGCGCCGGGAGAGCGCTTCGAGAGGAGGGAGGGGCGGCCCAAGGACGCAGCCGGCCGTGCCGCTGCCCGCGGGGCGGCAGTAGCTCGCAGGGCCGCGGCTCCCGCCCCGCTGGACCGGTTTGTGGAGGGGCGGGAGGAGGGTGATGGGTGGGTGGGGTGAGAGCTATGAAGCGCACCAAGGGGCCATGACATCGGCAAAAAAGAATTTAAACATGACAACTCTCTCTCACAGCAGAAAGGTGCGAACTGGCGCCTGGTAAGCACTTGGAGCACTTGGAGTGCAGTCATCCGCACATCCAGGGCCGGGGAGCTAAGAAGCGCACCCAGCGGGCCGGATGATTGGCATCGGGTTGCGGGCAAGACAGCCCTAGCGGCTCTGCAGGCGGCGCGCGGCGCGCCCCTCGCCGGTCTCCCGCACGCTCCTGAAGGCCGAGAGGGCCGAGAGGCGGGGTCGGTGACCCGGGGGCATGGTCGGTGCGGCCCGCGCCGCGCGCGGGCGCGTGGCAGCCCGTGAGTGCCGAGATCGGGTCTGTGCTTCGACGTAGCATGGGCCCCCGGAGGCCCATCTACAGCAGCGGCGAAGTGAGCGTGTTTGTGGTGTTGGTGTGGCGTCTGAGCTTTGATCTGTGACTAAAGCCGCTGACCACTGATGGATCCCCACCCGAATAACACACAGTGAGCGCCCCAGCGCTTCACTACGCCCTCCGCGCGAAATCGCTAGTGGTGCTTTGTGGCAGCACATTGTGCTTTGTGGCAGCACGGGTGCGGTGCCCGAGACCGAGACAGGTGCGAACTAGGGTGCGAACTCGCGTACACGGGAGAATTCTCGTTTTTCGCCACAGACCGAAGCCACAGCTGCCCAACTCGGTGCGCTCGCGACCGCCAAACGCGCGCGAGGGAGGGACTGGGCTCGTGGGCCGGGCGTCCGGGACGCGGTTGGGGCTGGTTGGGGGTGCAGCGCACCGGCTCGCCGCAGCAATAAACCGGTCTTGCCTGCTGTGTCGGAAAAACTCTCGAAAACTCTTCGCTCCTCCCGCATCAGGCGTCGCCCAGCTGCCTCGATGGTCGCCGAGCCCGTGCCGATGGTTTTCAAGACTGGGAGCAGCGCGGGTGCGCGGCGACGCAGCAGATCCCGGCTGCAAGTCTCCTGCAGAGCTCGTGCGTACCGACGCCGTCACCCGCTGCGCGCCTCAGGCAAGGTCAAGCAGGGCAAGATCACGAACGAGGACGTGCTGCGCAGAGAGGTGCCCTGGTCGGCCTTCAAGGCGCGCAGCGCCTCGCGTGGCGGCGTAGCGCTTTGCGGGGGGGGCTGGAGGGAGGCACTGTCGTGACGTCGGCGCGCACCCCGCCGCCCGTGCAGGAGAAGGGCATCATCTCAAAGGATGAGCTGGAGCTCATGTACCAGCTGGTCGAGATCGTGCAGTCGAAGTCGGTGGCCGCGCAGGCGGCGCTCATCGAGATGCGCTCCGCCGAGCACGCGCAGCTCTTCAAGGCCCTGCTCACCGGGGTGAAGAGCGCCGACGGGCCCTTGCGTTCTGCCGCGCTCGAAGCCTGGCGGCGGAGGGGCGGCGGTGTGGTCTGGCGTAGGTGAACAAGGACGAGGTTGTGATGTACATCCTCTCGCTCCTCGACGAGCTGCTCAAGCAGAAGCCAACCCTCGCCTCCCTCTTCCACGCCGCTCTCTACGAGTCTGGCGGCGCCATCGACGTGCGTGCTGCCTCTCTCCCCACCTCTCTCCTCTCTCCCCCCACCTCCCTCTCCTCTCTCCACACCTCTCTCCTCTCTCCCCACCTCTCTCTCCTCTCTCCCCCCACCTCTCTCCTCTCCCCCCACCTCTCTCCTCTCCCCCCCACCGCTCTCCTCTCCCCCCACCTCTCTCCTCTCCCCCCACCTCTCTCCTCTCCCCCCCACCGCTCTCCTCTCCCCCCACCTCTCTCCTCTCCCCACCTCTCGCTCCTCTCCCCACCTCTCTCCTCTCTCTCCCCACCTCTCGCCTCTCTCCCCACCTCTCGCCTCTCTCCCCTCCTATGTCGCCTCCCCACCCCTCCCCCTCCCCTCCCGCTCGCAGGCGAAGGCGCACGCCATGAAGCTGCTCAAGCACGAGGACCCCGAGGTGCAAAAGTACGCCCTCACCTGCGTCCAGCGCCTCATGGTCATCAACTGGGAGTACCTCAACAGCGGCAGCTAGGCCGGGCTTCCCCGTCCTCGGACCTGTCCGACGGGAGCCCCTCGATAGCAGCAGGCGGGACGCACGCGCCGAGACGGGCGCCGCCACTTTCCATCCCGCAGAGCGGATGTGGAAGGTGGCGGGCTAGTCCTTTTTGGCAGCGCACCGCCGTGGTCCGTCTCGCGCCGCTACTCGCGCCCGCACCCTCTGCCCACGACTTCCGGCATGGCGCCACACCGTGCTCCACTGCGCGGCTGTGTGCGGCGCGCGCCCCAAGGGACTCCTGTCCTCTCTACGTATGAAATGATTTTGGCGCTAGCTCGGACACGCGTACTCAAGTCGACACAGAGCAGCGGCTGGCGCGCGCACGCGGGTCGAGGGTGGGTTAGACAAGCTCGAAGCTGTCTGTGCTGCTGTCACTGCTGCGCTCCCGTCACCTCTTCTCCCCGTCGCTCGCTGGGCGGATCGAGCCGTCCCTCATCAGCCACGAGCCGTTTGGCATCACTCGCTGCACGTCGTCCGGGAGCGGCCGCGGCTTGCTGCGAGGGGCGAGATGGGAGGAGGCTGAGGTGGGTGGGAGAGGTCGTAGCGTGCGCGTGAGGACAGAGAGATGGAAGAGGCGAAAACGCTCCACCTGCCCTCCTCCTTCTGCTCAAAGTAGTAGCAGACGCCGAGGACGACGATGCACAGCCCCCACAGAGAGATGGTCTGGAACCCAATCTTGTTTGACGTGGAGGAGGGCGGCGGGATCAGAAACGTCCGCTGCCCTCCCAGTCTGCTGCTTACGCCGGCCCGCCGCCTGAGGCGGCGGTCAGCAGCGTACAGCATGCGAAGCACCTACGTTTGCGTTCAGGCTCTCGTTGATCGGGTGTTTGGCGGTCGAGACAGGCATGTGTCCGACAAGCGACTCGACAAGGCAGCCTGGCCCGCGCACAAAAAGAAAACCCCGCATTCTCAGTGTGCCCGTGGCAGTGAGAGACTGCCGGTGAGAAGCCGGAGGAAGGTCGCTACCTTCCACTGAGATGAGACCGCCAGTGGAGTTGGGATTCCACCGTGCACCGCGCTGCGAGCCTGTCGTGTCCCTTGTCAGGAGCAGGAGAGCCCCACCTGTGCCCCTGATCGTCCTTCCAAAATTCTGCTCGTGCAGGTTGGGACCCTGTCCTCCTCCCCTAAGCCCTATCCCTCTTTTGGGTTGTCTGTTTTCTTTCTGAGCAAGGTCACATGGACTGCTCTCCACCTCTCCCCTGTCGGTGAGAGATATGCTGTTGTGTCCCTGAGTGATTGAGTGTCGCAGTGTGACGGCGGGGGCCGCTGGCGCCACATGCGCACAATGCTACACTCGAGAACGGAGAAGCCGGGCCCGCACCAAGTCCAAGAAGTTTGTCTAACACGCTCTCCTCCTACATGTATAGCCGCACACGGAAACACGCCCATAATGCACAACGCGGCACAGCAGTAGACAGAAAAGTGTCAGGCGACAAGCGACAAAGGGCCAAGGACCGTCTACCCTTGCGAATGTTGACTCTCCCTAGTCGTACAGGTGCTTGGCGTACCAGCCGAGAGCCAGCTGGATGGCGCGTTGCTGTCCGACCGCAGCCGCGCCATCGGCCATGCCGCCGCTCTCGGTCCAGCTCTTGCCAAGGAAGCCCGCGGCGCGAGTCATAAAGCCGTGGGCTTGGTCGCGAAAGTGGACGCCATCAAACGGCACGCCCTGCGCAGCAAAGATGGATGCGAGCTCGCCATTGCTGTAGAGTGGCTTCTCTTGAGGCGTTGAGAGGATGAGCGTCGGTGTGCCCGCTGAGGCGGCCAGCTCCTGCTCGCTCTCGCCCTCGTACAGCTCCTTGCCGACTTGGCAGCTCGGGTGCGCCCAGACGCCGGCGTGGATCCGTCGGTCTTGGCAGGCTTTGGCTACGCCCCAGGCGCCCCAGCAAAAGCCGATGCTCCCCGTCTTCTCGATGCCGATCTCCGAGAGATGTTGCAGGACCGCCTCGACACGCGGCGAGCACCACGCCCAGTTGAAGCGCGCAAGCTCCTTTTTGCCGTCGCCCGCCTTGCCCGCGTTGTAGAAGGGCTCGATGGACCAGCCGTCGTAAAAGTCGGGCATGATCACATAGTGCTGAGCGGCGAGTGCGTCGCACACCATCTTGTGGTTGCCAGAGTCCATTCCGAAAACGTCGTGGAAGACCAGCACGGCCGTCCTTGACGCCGTCGGCGCGCCAGAGGTGTAGCAACGGAAGCCACCGCCGCCGCCGCTGCCGTCGACGCCGAGCGTGATCTCGTGTCCGCAGCACGCACCGCTTTGAGGCGCGAGCGCAACGTGCGAGCCCTTGGGGCAGCAGGGCGCTGGCGAGTCGACACCCACGGCCATGGCTCAAAGCAATGAGTCACGCCTTTTGCCCTTGGCGAGCCGGGGAGGAGATGTCAGCGTTTCAAGGCGTGCTTACTTGCTTGAATTTTTGGTTTCTTGCCATGTCGACGCACGCGGCGCAGAGCGCGCAGTCGGAGTGGCAGCACGCGGTGAGAGAGCTGAGAAGAGACGTGGATCGTGGTCCGCACGTCCCGGCCCGCGGCGCCACATCATGACAGAGGGCCCAACTTGAGAATCGTGCTTTGAGTTGGGTTGTTTCGTGTTGGGTTGGGTTGTGGTTGGGTTGGGTTGTTCCGCGTGAGCCGTGAGGTTGGGTCGTCGGCGCGAAGGGTGAGGTCTCGACCGCCGCCGCTCACGCCAGCGGACGGCCACTGCCGGTGTTTTTGGCTTCGCCACCGTCCAAGGCGTGCGCCATGCGCTCGCCGGCATCGAGCGAGCAACGTGATCGACCGAGCGGCTTGCTGTGTGGTCGCCTTCTTGTGGCTCTCGTCGAGAGCGTTTTGCGTCCCGGCGGGTGGGAGAATGTGTGTCGTCTGAAGTGTCACTGTGTGCGTCACATCGATGTGGATAACAAGCACGGTCGATCCGTCAAAGCGATACACTCGTTCCTATCACGCTGGAAGGCTTGCACGGAGCTCTGTGCCGGTACACAGGAAGAGCCGTGCTGCAAGAAGAGCTCGATGGGGAGCGAGAACCGTCAGATTTTCAGGTGTAGCCTGAAGTCCGTCGCGACGCACTCAATCCCTCCCGAGCGAAAGCCTGTGGCTCTCTCGAACTCGTCGATATATTGCGAATAAACTGCTTTTCCCGCATAGCTTGCAGAGTCAGAGGCGCAGAAAGGCTACGAGTGTTCGACGAGTCTTGCGAGCTGCGCGGTCAAACCTGGGGGGGAATGACCGCATCAAGGCGGACTTCCGAAACCTGGGTGAGCACCTCTGGCAGTTCTCGCTCCCCATCGAGCTCTTCTTGCCGCACGGCTCTTCTGTGTGCCGGCACAGAGCTCCGTGCAAGCCTTCCAGCGTGATAGGAACGAGTGTATCGCTTTGACGGATCGACCGTGCTTGTTATCCACATCGATGTGACGCACACAGTGACACTTCAGACGACACACATTCTCCCACCCGCCGGGACGCAAAACGCTCTCGACGAGAGCCACAAGAAGGCGACCACACAGCAAGCCGCTCGGTCGATCACGTTGCTCGCTCGATGCCGGCGAGCGCATGGCGCACGCCTTGGACGGTGGCGAAGCCAAAAACACCGGCAGTGGCCGTCCGCTGGCGTGAGCGGCGGCGGTCGAGACCTCACCCTTCGCACCGACGACCCAACCTCACGCGGAACAACCCAACCCAACCCAACAACCCAACCCAACCCAAAAAGCACGATTCTCAAGTTGGGCCCTCTGACATATAATGTGCCACATGACCTAGTGATGCCTGATGCGATGGTTTCGTGTGCGCAGGGCCAGGGCGGCGTGTGGGCGCGCGTGTGTAAGTGGTTGCTGATGGTGAGCATGCTCCGTTCTAGGCTCTGTTTTCGTGGCGGTGACCGGTGTGTGGTGGACTCGAGTCTCGAGAGGCTCGTGGGCTGCTTTCTTGAGCCGCGACCGCACACACATCACTCATGCACACACAACCCGCTACTCTGGAGAAGGCCCACGCTCCTCCTCCGCCTCCTCTGCCAAATGCAAATCCCTCGGCGGCGGCGCCTCCTCTGGCCGCTGCGCCGCCACGCCAGTCAGCTGCAACCCACGGAACGCCTCCTCCAGCCGCTGCGCGGCGGCTTCGCGCCGCTGCGCCCTCTCGCGCTGCCTCCGCGGCCGCGTGTCCAGCCCGGCCGCCGCCGCCGCCTGCTCGTCAAGCACAAACTCGAGGCGCGTGCCGAACTTTTGGCGGAGAAAGGAGTTGACGTGGGCGCCGAGAAAGCCGCGCTTGCGCTCGAGCGCCGCGCTCAGCTTCCGCACCGGTGCGTCGCCCCCCATCGGCTCCCAGTGCACGCGCGCCAGCTGCAGGTTGCTCGTGATCTCGACGCGGTTGATTGCGATGGCGCGCCCGTCCTGCAGCGCGCTGCTGCGGCCGACGACGCCGCGCGCGAGCGCCTCGCTGAGCAGGCGGTGGATCTTGGCCGCCGTCTGCAGTGAGCGCGGCGTGCTCGTGCCGAAGCCACCCATTTGGGCGTTGTTCGCGCCCCCGCGAAAACGGAAAAATGTCACGGCGCAAGCAAAAAAGAAATCAAAACACGTCTCGCGCGTGACCGCGAAGCGCAGCACGCAGGCGCTGAATGTCGCGCGCCGCGATGCCGTTCGTGTTTCCTGCCGAATCGAGATGGTGCCACTCGTGGATCTCGTAGAGCGAGACGACGAGGAGCGCCGCCCGCGCGCGCGCCGCCGCGGGGAAGAGCGAGTGGCTTGCCGGCGACCACGGCGCCGCCGCCCGCCGGATCAGCGCCGCCACCTCGCCCTCGCCGCTCGCGGCGCGCTGCAGCGGCGTCGGCTCGCCCTCGTGCAGGCTTGCGCCGCTGCGCAGCAGGGAGAGAGCGCGGGCGGCGGTGAGGCTCTCAAGGTGCGCGAGCGGCGTCCAGCCGCGGCTGGCGACCAGCCAGGCGGCGATGTCCCTCCACTTTTGGGTGGCGGTCGCGCGTTGCCGACGGCGCTCGCCGGCGCTACGGCGCTCGCGGCGCGCTCGTGGCGTTCAGGCCGGCTCGCACACCGCGCGCGCGCGCGCACACACACACACACACACACACAATGCATGCACAGACACACAGCCCCTTCCCCTCCCCCCTCAAGACCTTCCCAAGGGCGAGGACACGCGCAGGCCGCACCTCTAGTGAGGCCCGCATAGTATGTGGGTGACTCGGCTGCCGCCGCACCTGCCACCCCTGTGTCAGTGTGCCTGTGGTAGCGAGAGACTGCCAGCGAGAAGCTGGAGGCAGGTCGCTAGACTGAGATGAGACCGCCAGTGGATGTGGGAGTCCACCGTGCACCGCGCTGCGAGCCTGTCGTGTCCCTTGTCAGGAGCAGGAGAGCCCCACCTGTGCCCCTGATCGTCCTTCCAAAATCCTGCTCGTGCCCAGGTGTGGACCCTGTCCTCCTCCCCTATCCCTCGTTTGGGTTGTCTGTTTTCTTTCTTTCTTTCTTTTAAAATCAGGCAGAGCATGAAAAGAAAAAAGTAAGACTGCACTAAGCGACTAACATGCAAGTCCTGTTGCGCGCACGCACACAAGCCACAAGGCACAAGCCCCCCGGGGGGAGGGGGGGGGGGGGGGGCAATGCGCGAGAGAGAGGCAGAGGGGGGAGAGACAAGGGTGGTGTTTAGAAACACCGGGGAATGGGTGAAGTCGTTTACGCGCGCTCTCCGCGGATGCGGCGGGCCAGCTGGATGTCCTTGGGCATGATGGTGACGCGCTTGGCGTGGATGGCGCACAGGTTGGTGTCCTCGAAGAGGCCGACGAGGTAGGCCTCGGACGCCTCCTGGAGCGCGACGACGGCCGACGACTGGAAGCGCAGGTCGGTCTTGAAGTCCTGCGCGATCTCGCGCACCAGGCGCTGGAAGGGCAGCTTGCGGATCAGGAGCTCCGTCGACTTCTGGTAGCGGCGGATCTCGCGGAGCGCGACGGTGCCCGGGCGGTAGCGGTGCGGCTTCTTGACGCCGCCGGTGGCGGGGGCCGACTTGCGCGCCGCCTTGGTGGCGAGCTGCTTGCGGGGCGCCTTGCCGCCGGTCGACTTGCGTGCTGTCTGCTTGGTGCGTGCCATGGTTGTTTGATTGAGTGGTTGGTGATTAACCGTACGGCGCCGGGTCCTTTATCGTTTCCGAGGTGCGGGTGAGGGCAAAGCCCTGCAGCGGCGCGGCTTCCTGCCTCGCATGGAGAGGAAGCGCTGCGGTGCGGCGCCATGCGCTTTGCCTTCCGACTAGCGACCTCCTCCAGGCCGAGAGCACGCCCACTGCGCTGCCCCGGTGCGCTCGCGCGCGCCGCGGTCGCACGCTTCCCTCGCCGCCCGCCACGCTGGAGACGGCGTCGGCGGGATGCGTGGGGTGGGTGTACGCTAGGCTGATCCGCGCTCGGCGCTGCATATTGCGGGCCCGGGGACACCCGCCGCGGCCGGGTGCGCGGCCGGACAGGGGAGTGGGGTCTTTCCGTACACCGTATAGTCTCCTCTCTCGCAACACGCCACTTGGTGGATCTCTCTAGCGTTTTGGCTCACCTTTGATCCCGCCCCGGACCTGTTCGGCCCACTCCCTCCACGAACGGCTGGCGTCGTACATCTTGAAACCACCTCGGGGCCCCGCCCCGCCGGCCAGCGGGCGAGACGCGTCTGCATCCTCCGGCACCGGAGAGACCGATCGAGAGCGGCCTCCCACTAGATGTTCCGACTCGCCCTCCTCCACTTCGCTCGCGCTCAGCTTGGGGAGGCCGGCGCGCCTAATGGGGTGGGGTGGGGTGGGGGGTGGGTGGGTGGGGTGGGGGGTGGGTGGGTGGGGGGTGCGGATGTCCTTCTCGCAGGAAGTGCCGCGGCGCCTCGCTCCATCGCATGGCGTGCCATGCATGCACCTCGGCTGCTCTCGGCTGCTCTGCCTAGTCTCTGCTGTCTCTGCTATCTTCTCGGCTAGTCTCGACGCCTCGCGGCGGTCCACTGGCTGTGCTTTGGGATTGCCCGCCCGCCCACCTCGCCGCCAAGCTGCCCTCGCCTGTTCACAGCTCACCTCTGTGAAAAGAGGCGCCCTTCATGGCTGTGCCTCCCCCTCGCCCCACTTCGGCTGCGCCCTTGCGGGAGATGCGGCGGCAGCACCCGCCTCGCCGGCGGCCTGCCCCGCTTCTCCCTCTTTGTCTTCTTCGGCCAGCGTTCGCTCTCCATTTATTATACCTCGAGGGGGGTCTCTTCTCTTCCTCTCCTTCTGTGTATGTTTTCAGTTTCCGTTTCATCTTCCCCATGT